AGTTCTCACCTACATCGTCCATATAGGACGACTCGGGAACTCAACTCCTACCCCGGGCAGCTCACCTATCCCCTTATGCCCAGGGGAAAGGTATCAAGCCGTTTGACAGCTGATGCTGGCTGTCAAACCGGCTTTTACGCAAAACAGGCGGGAGGCAGCAAACAGCTGCGACCAGCGAAATCGCCTGCCACCGGAAGTCCTCCGATTGTTTCAGCATTATCTTCTGCATGTGGAGTTTTTATTATATATTTTGATACATTTTTCTTCATCACTCTGTATTCATGAATTTGCTTACTGTTTGCTTCTGTATATCTTAACAATGTACTTTTATAGATATAATACTTGATATTCATTAATATAATTAATAGTTTAATACTTAAATCAGTTTTGTATCAAAAAGCTCAAGAATGTATGTATTTGCTTTTTTACTGTAATAATCTATTTGTAGGCTGCTTTCCATTGGTAGAAATCTTGAAGGGCTGATGTTAATTCTGTTATCTTTGGCAATGCCATGAAGCTGAATATGTGAATTGTTTTTATGAAATCTTTTTCTAATAATACATTTCTTGTTCAAGGAGTTCTTGCTTGAAACAAACGCAGAAGCTCCTATTCAGTTACTATTTTTTTCTCATAGGAAGTCTCAGGGAATATTCTAAATTTTTTATGGAAAGAATTCAAAGTCAAATAATAGCTTGATTGGCATTCAAATGTGGCAAAGAACATAGATTTCCCTTTTTAATGTCTCTGGCACTGCATTGTAATCTGCATTTGCTATTGATAGTTGTAGCATTGATTCTGTAAAACAGTTTTAAAAAAAAATCTTGGCGCTTACTTTTAAATGGCAAAGAATGTTTATTGATTTTAAAGACCTAGAGGAGATCATATTAATCTACTGCTTGTATTTGTAGAGGATGTATGTCTAGAAAGGCTGGATTAAGATGTACTCTTTGATAATAAGTGGGAGACATATACAGCTAGTGCTCTATTCTCATAAAAAGTGAAAATTGAATCTTTCTAGATGTTTGTTTAATGCTGCTGTTCTGTAAAAAAAATAGAATTGCATGTTCTTTTCTTGGACAAGTGATCAGTTGCCAAGACACCAAACTTATATTACTGAATGTGGCAGCACATTTTTAAATCACAAGTTGGAAATTTACAGCTGAAATGTAGTAAAACCCACAAACAATTTTGGGGGATTAATTTTCCCCCCAGCAGATGGCGCCTAAATCCTGTTTTGAAACTCAAAATGAGAAATATTTCTTTCTATGTTCAGCCTTTTATAATTTCTGTGAGGAATGCCATGCTTAATCATGGGGTTTGTTGAGGTTTTTTAAAAAAAGTTTTATGAGCATATTTCAGTAGGAGTTGCAAGTGCGTCGATTTAAAGTTATGTCTTCTAGGAAAAGAAAAAAAACCAGCATGGAGAAATAAGCACATTTTCTTCTGTGGAGTATAGTGACTTTATATCAGATGGTGATGTTAATGAACTTCCACGTGGTATTAATTGAATATACATAGTGCTCAGAATTAATTTGCTTTAATAAAGCTGTTGTTTAGGCTTAATGATACAGTGTTGCTGTCAACGCTGCAAATACTGTATATTCTTGCTTTGACAATATGCAGAACTGTCTGGTATTTTTATAGTTAAATCAGGCAACAGTGAAAGGGGAGGAAAATAAGGAAAGCCCGGGAAAAAGGAACCGGAAGTGAATCACATCTTCCAAGTTAATTGGAAGATGTAAACCATGACCCCAAAATAGGGGAGGGAAAAATGCCTGGAATGTATGTGCAATGGAAAAGAAAATCAGATCTAAGCATTCCACCATGCCGTACTGACATCTCTGTAACCTTAATAAATGCTTTTAGGTTAAAAAAAATGCCTGAAAGTTCTTTAAAGTGTTTCGTTAATCAGACACATGACAGTTGCTTTGCAACCAGAGGTGTCAGCTTCAGTTATAGCACCATCAGGGAGCTTGGAAAAAAAGCACCACAACCCGTGCCTATAGCCAGTGTTCTGGATGGACTGTTGGCCTAGAGATAGTCCTCGACTTACAACTACAATTTGGACCAAATTTTTTGTTGTGAAGAAAGATGGTTGTTAAATGCATCATACCTATTGTCATAACTTTTTTTGCAACAGTTATAAAATAAATCACTGTATTTGTTAAGTGAACCACGTGGTAGTTAAGCAAACCTGGCTCCTTCCATTGACTTTGCTTGTTGGAAAGCCAGCTGAGAAGGTTGCAAATGGTGATCACATGACCCTGGGACTCTGCAACCATCATAAATACATGCCAGATGCCAAGTGCCCAGGTTTTGATCATGTGAGCCTAGGGAATGCTACGGTAGTTGTAAATGTAGTTGTAAATGTAAGACAGTTTTTAAAATGCTGTTGGAACTTGAAATGGTCACTAAAGGAATGGTTGTAAGTTGAGGACTATCTTAACTCCGTATCAGTTTTTCAGTTATTTTCAGCAAGCATTTTAGAGAAGAGGATGGCATCTGATCAGAGGGATGGAAAGGTGAGACTTGGATAGGTCAAGAATTTTATATAAAGATTAAGGACAGTTATGTACAAAAACAGAAGAACTATGCTGGAAGAGATCAAATATCTATTTAACTAATAGGCAGGGATTGTACCACTATTAGGACATGGGTTGAGTAATGCTATTCCACCGATGTTTCTGGTAACTGATATTGTGGAATTTATGGTTATAATAACTGGAAGCTATTAGTAGCCATGTTTTTCACCAGCCTATCCAATATCCATTTAAACCATTATAATTGCTTCAAGTTCCTACTTTGAATGTCTGAAGGATTAAACCCAGGCACTGCTTATTTCTTTCTTTCCTTTCGCAATTTCATTCTAT